TAAGACTCATTATATGCAAACAAATACCAAAGGAATCCATATTTATGACATAACTGCACTAGGAAAATGGGGAAGGAGAATTTATGTATGTATGTAGATGTCAATAAATGGGATTCTGGTAATAATAGAATCCTCATTTTCAGGCTGAAGGTATAGCTCATTGTATACTTAGCATGAGTGAAAAAGAAACAATGAGCGAGAGAAGAAAGAAAAAGAAATCCTATCTTCATAATAGGAAGTCAATCAATTTATATCTTCAACCAAAATTTTCAAATGTTGCATTTTATACATTTCCTTTGGAAATATAAAGGTCAACACTGAAAGGAATAGATAAGAGTGCTGAAAATCACCTGGGGAAGTAGGGAGTGCACAGGAGGAACAGGTAGTCAGTGGTAGTCCTAGAGACTTCGGATTATGTTTTAGGCTTTGTCATAGTTATTTTCCTTTAAACAAAAAACCAATGATTGTCAAAAAGACTGACAAGGGCTGAGGGTGTAGCTCAGTGGCAAAGCTCTTGCCTAGCATACAGGAAGCCCTGGGTTCAGTCCACAGTACCACAAAAAATTAAAAAAATAAGACTGACAAATTTCAAAGTTGAAAGAAAGGTAGAGAGGTATGCATGCACAGGGTAAGCACAGGCAAGAAATAGAAAATAGTCCAGAAAAGTTGGGAAATTAGAGAATCATAATGAGAATTCATTGTGTGTGCTGTGGGTACCACTAGAAGGTAGGGAATAGGGACAGCACATGGAGGTGAATAGATTAGGAGGAGACAAAAAAAAAAAGGAGCAAGACACCACTTTTCCTAAGAGCTGAACCAAGTGAGAGAGGATGTATGAATAGATATGTATTCTAAAGGAATAGATATATGAGAACTATTCCAGGTACAAGTGACAGGATTTGGCTAATAGAATGTAAGGAGAAGGAGAGACGACTTGGATGTTTTTCCAGTCATGTCACCTGGGAATTCTCAGGCCAAAATCTATTTTGGTAATTACAATAGTTTTTATCATTTCCCAAAATTGACTTGAAATATTTGACTCTTAAGAAAATAAAAGCAAGCCGGGCATGGTAGCACACGCCTGTAATCCCAGCACTCGGGAGGCTGAGGCAGGAGGATCACTGTGAGTTCGAGACCAGCCTGGGCTACGTAGTGAGTTCCAGGTCAGACTCAACTACATAGTGAGACTCTCTCTCAAAAAAACAAACAAAACAAACAAAAAAAAGAAAAGAAAAGCAGGAAATTTGGCCATAAGATCCTAAAACTCTTCCATTGGTAGGCTCCTCCTACATCCCTTCAGGGTCATTATGAAATTCTAAGATGTGAAACAATGTATTACACTGAACAAATATGGGGATTCTGTTATGGCTGTTACTGTTTTCAAGATATTGTGACAATTTCTGAGGTCAGTTCCAAATGAAAAGTTTCAAAATACATTTCAAGCTATTTCATCAACATTGAGCAATGATAGCTATTGCCATCTTGTTATCAACAGGCTTCAAAATGGAATACCTTTCACTGTGATTTTATCTTTATATAAAAGATAGTGGATTGATTGATGGCCCCCTGCAAAGGATGTGTCTGTATCTTAATCCATAGAACCTATGATTGTTATTTGGAGAGTCTTTACAAATTTTATTAACTTCTCAATCTAGAGGTGAAGTCATCATCCTGGATTATTACGCATAGGTTATAAACCTAGTGTCAAGTATCCTTATATTTTTTTGTTTGTTTTGGTTTTGAAACAGTCTTACTAAGTAGTTCAGGCTATCCTTGAGTTTGAAGTGTAGCCCAGACTGGTCTCGAACCCCCAGGATTCCTTCTGCCTCAAACTCCCAGGTGCTAGGATTATAAGCATATACCACCATGCCAGCTACGTGTCTATGTTATGACTTATATCTAGATGTTCCCTCAATGCCTCATGTACTCATAGGAAGGGCTTTTGAAGGGTGATTGAATTATGGGGGTTGGATAGCTGATTTGCTGTTAGGAGGCGGGATGTCTTTGGCAGAGAAGGGTCATCAGGGTTGTGACCTGGTAAGTGTGTCTCCATCCCTACGTCCTTTTTTTTGTTCTCTGCTTCCTGGCTTCCATGAGGTAAGCAGGTTTTCCTCTGTCATGCTCTTCTTCAGTGCTGGCTGACCACGGACTAAAAGCTGAGCCAAAAGAAACCTCTGTTCCTTTAAGCTGCAGTTGTTTGGTATTTTGTCCCAACAAGTGACTAACACCTTATTATAAGAGACACACAGAATGGAAACACAGATTTTGCCTTCTGTTCTTACAACTATTTTGAGATTAAAATCCAGATTTGCTCTTTTAAATCACCCAGTGTAGAAAATTGATTTTTTAAAAATTATTTAAGGTAAATCAAAAATGACAGTAGCAACTAGGAAAATCCAAATCTTTGATTTTTTTCTTTTGTTTTCAGGGAAGCCATTGGTGAGAAGTAGAACTAAATACTATCTAGTAAATCAAATAATGGCAATAAGATGTTGAATTGAGCATTGTGGCAAATGCCTGTAATCCCTGGGAGACTGAGGCAGGAAGCTTTAAAGTTCAAGGCCAGCCTGGGCACAATAGTGACTTAGCAATACCTTGACCAAAAAAATAATTAAAATACAAGGTGCTGGAAATGTGGCTCAGTGCAAAAGCCTAGAGTTCAGTCCCCAGTAATACACACACACACACACACACACACACACACACACACACACACACACTAAAAGTCATGAACTGATTTGTAAACTGACTAGTTTTTTTTTTTTAATTACATTTGAAGGCTTGCTGTGAAGTCACATGGTCTGCTTACTGGTTCCAATGAATAGTTATCTCTCTAATTTGATTCAGTTCTAATATTTCTTTGTTGATTTTTTGTTTAGTTGATCTATTTATGACAAGGGGGTACTGAGGTCACCCATTACAATTCTTTTAGTGCATATTTGATTTTTTTCATGTCCATTATATTTACATAGTTGGGTATGCTGGTATTTGGTGCATATATTTTTTTTCCAGTACCAGGAATTGAACTCAGGACTATGCACTTGCCGGGGAAGTGCTGTGCAACTAAGCTAAGTCCCTAGCCCCTACATATATATTTATGATTGTTCTCTTGCTCTTAGATTGTTCCCTCTTCAAGGATATAGTAACATTCTTTGTCTCTCTTAATCAATCTTGGCTTGAAATCCACTTTGCCTGCAAATAGAATAGCTACCCTTGCTTTTTTCCAGGTTCCTGTGACATGGAATATGGTTTCCATAATTTTCCTAAGCTTTTCTTTTCTTTTATTTATTTTTTATTTTATTTTTTATTTTTTGCCTTTTTTGGACAGGGTCTCACTATGTAGTTGAGACTGACCTGGAACTCACTATATAGCCCAGGCTGGTCTTGAACTCATAGCAATCCTCCTGCCTCAGCCTCCTGAGTGCTGGGATTACAAGCATGCGCCACCACACCCAGCTTTTTTTTTAAAGCTCTTCTATTTTTTAAATCTGTATTTACTCTAGAGTCACTATGTGTTTTATTATGATCACCATAATTGTAGTTATCTGAGAGATTATTTATGATTTGTTTTTTCTTTTCTAGAGCCTCATTCATCCACTTTGCTACTTCCACTATTACCACTTCAGAGAAACTAGGTGGGAGATTTTTAAATTGTCCCACCTCATTGCCCTCTGGGTTTGCCTTTGGTGAGCTTTCTAGCTCTGAGGTTGCATCTTGCTTAAGTGTCCTTTCATTTTCTTTCTTCTTTTTTTCTTTTTTGTTTTAACTCCTGCATTGATGCTTATTAATTAATTGCTTGTGCCAGGTAGGTTTATTGCTAGTATTTAGAATCCTTAAAAAATGAAGACTTCTCAGAAATGTCTTCCAGGTGTATCTGGCTTTTGGGTTCTTAGTCTGTTGCAAGATCCTGCCTCTTCAATTTATTGGAGATGAGAAATTGCTATTTGACCTAGTCTCTGGTTCTTTGGCACTGGCTTATAGTATTATTTATGACCCTTAGGAAGTCTGTCTTGGCGTACCAGCAGGAACAACTGATTAGAAAAATTAGTCACCCTGGCTAAAGTAGGACAATCAACAATAACAAAAGCATCAAACATAGCCTAGAAAATGACAAACTGGTGAATATTAGTTGGTCACCTTTAACCATATAAACAGGATTTATAGTTACATAACAAAATCTAAAACAAGCCAGAAAATTGTATAGAGTACGTATGCCCTCAATATGGTGATTTCTTAGGGGAGAAAATTTAAAAGAGGTTGGAAGAAAATAGAGGAATAGAAGAAGGGTAAGAGACTAGAAGCAATGCTGGAGGACATAAGATTACACAAACTTTGGGAAACTGGTGAAGAAGACAGGCAGGAAAGAGAAGGAAGAAAAAAACAAGAACAGAACAGAATAAGAACAAACAACTAGAAACAATGTTTACACTAATATAAAAACAAGAACAGACAATTGAGAAAAAAAATGAAAAAAATGTACACTTCAGGACATGTTTCTGCTGTCACTGGTAGACAGAGTGGGCAGACCCCAGATCCATGTTGATTAATATCAGCGAGCCTGTACCTGTAGTTCCACTGAAGTTCAGGCTAGTTTCTGGCTGTGAAACTTGAACCGGATTTGTTCAGCCAAAAACACTCCCTGTGCCTCCTGCTTGAACTTGCTTCTTCCTCCCCCTGACACTGGCAGCCACTAGCTGGAGCCAGCCTGTAGCTGCTCTATTGGCCTCTCTCCAATGGCTATCAGCCAATCACCCTCTCTGGGGGGATGTCCAAACCTAAATAACTCACCAGCCACCAAAGTCTACTGTGTCTACCACTCCACTCTACTATCCCATCCCTCCATGGAGGCTTCTGGGGTCACCCATAGACACCGTTCTGTCTACAGGTTTGAGTCTTTCTCCCCATGCAGGAACCATGGGCTCAGGGAGAAAGTGCTACTTGCCACCTCCTTCTACATTGAGGTCTCTCTCTTCACTCTCCCCATGGACTTCAATTCTTACTTCAGATCTTTGCTGGGTCCTGGTGACCCACTTTTCTTCTTCACTTCTTCATGTTGTTATATTCCAGCAGCTGGACACCAAATCTTGGAGTGCTATTCAGTACTCCACCATCTTCCTCGAAGTCTGTTCTTGAGTCCACTTTTTCCCAGCTGAGTAAAGTAAAATAATCTGTCCAAAGTCTAGAGTTAAGGATAGAACACAGCACACAGAATGGGAGAAATTATTAACAATTATTAAAACTACACTGTCTGGACAAAACTAATAGGTTGGTTATCCCCTTTCTGAGATGTTTGGAACCAAAGGTATATTGGATTTTATTAATATTCAACTTTTAGTATATTTACACATACATAGTATGATGGAGATGGAACCCAAGTCTAAATATTCATTTATGTTTCATATCAGAGGCATGGACTAAAGGCAATTTATGCAATATTCTTATGTATTCTTAGATGACACACCTGTAATTCAAGTACAGTGGAAGGCTGACACAGAACGATTACAAGTTTGAGCCTAACTTGGGTAATTTAGTGACTTAGTGTGCCTGCATTTTGAATGACTACAAATGGTGGTCTCACTATGTTTCCCAAGCTGACCTCAAACTCGTGGTTATTCTCCTGCCTCAGCTTCCTGAGTGCTGAGATCACAGGTGTACACCACCATGCTCATTCTTGTCATTGTCACTTTAGGGAAGAAACACATCTTCCATCCCTGGGCAGTGCTGTACTGATTAAGGAAAATGTGCAACTTTTTACATTTTAAGCAGGTAAAAGTGGAGAATTTCTGGTGGTAAATAAAGTGGGGGCCTGGCATAATATACCTTAATATGTAGTCCCATTCAGTTACATTAAGAGGGTCAAGGAAATCACTTGGTTGGAACTTTCTCTGAATAATAGGGAACAATGCATTGGATTACAAACTAAAAACTTTTTCTACTCTAAAGTTATTGTTTAAAATTTTTAAAATAAGCAAGTCCTGACCTGCAGCAAAATGAATAATAAATATAGCCTTTTGCACCATGAAAGATGTGTCTTTTAAACTGGTTGTGGAGTTGCAAGCCTATAACCCTAGCAGTCTAGGAGGCTGAGGTTGAGGCAGGAGGATTGCAAGTTTAAGCCCAGCTTGGGCAGCTTAATAATTTAGCAAGGTCTTGTCTCCAAATAAATAAATGAATGAATGAATAAATAAATAAGCTGGGGTTAGAGCTCACTGTGAAAGCCTCAGTTTCAATCTCCAACACCACAATACCAACAAACAAAAACAAAGAAACCCCAAACAAGCAAACAAAAAACCCCAACGAAAACAACAACAACAACAAACAGTCATGATTCCAGGACACTTAAATAGCAATGTAGGGCAATAATCCAAAACAGAAAGAAGAAAAAAAAAAAACCACGAGTGAGCATAGGACTAAGTGCAGTAGAGACAGAAGTTTATTCCTTTAGTGTTTAAGAAAAAGTCTTGGAAAGTTCCAAGTACAAAGGTTGGATCTTTTATCTGTTTAACCAAATACTCCAGCTTCTCACCCTCTGAAAACCAGTTATACCCAGCTGGCTGATCTTCACTGTTTGCTTTTTCAGCCTAAGACATATCTGTTCATAAATTACATGAACTTATTTTTTTTCCTTTTTTTTTTTTTTTTTTGCTCCTGCTGAAGTTCAGTTCCAGGGCTTCGCATATACTAGGCAAGAACTTACCACTGAGTTACAGCCCCAGCCCCACACAAGAACTTCTTAACCTATCTCTCCTAACTGAGTATGTATAAAGCTGTGTGTGATGGCACACACCTGTAATTCAAGTACTCTGGGAGCCTGAGTCAGAAGATCACAAATTTGAGCCCAGTCTCGGTAATTTAGTGACTGAGGAAGATCCTGTGTCAAAGTAAAAATTTAAAAAGGGCTAGGGGAAACAAAATGGCAGGGTGGTGATAAAGTGGCAAAATTCAGCCTCTCAGAGATCTGGAATATAGACATTGGAAAACAAAAACTTATCAAAAAAAGAAAGAAAAAGAAAAGCCAATCACCGGGAAACAGGAAGAAACTGACAGGAAAAATTAGAAGCTACGGACCTGTTGGAAAGATGGTATACAATGCAGAGAAAAGGAAACAATATGAAATGTCTGCTTGGCTCTCAAGCTTGTAGGAAGGGAAACTGGGTTCCTCAAAGCAAGGTAAGTGCCAGGGGCTGGGAGATCCTGGGAGAAATGGCAGCAGAGCCGTGGCCTTTGTGGGTTTTTCCTCTAAGACAATGCCTTCTACATGGCAGGCAATAGCTGGAGAGGGATTCACTCAGGTGCTTGCAATGTCACCAGAGTTCTTGATGCAGTGCCATTTTGAGGAGAGGTTGATTAAATAAATCTGGGACTCAGAACAACTAAAAACCAACTTTGCTCCAGGGTTCTCAGTGTTACCCTCCTACAGTGACTAGGTGAGAGACAGCCACAGGCAAACTAGAAAGAGAGCCCCAAGAAGTTTAAACTCAGGCAGGGAAGGATGGGGCCCCACCCTTCATGGTGAGAAGCCAGGCCTGGTTTGAGATGCACTCAGAAACAGCTATGTCTAAAAGTGCCTGCCAGTGTCAAGTACTTGAACCCTTGCCCTGTTGCCTAAATCCACAACAGATCTGAAGTCTGGCTGCCTTCCTCATCCACCAACATGCACAAGGATGTGTCTCTGTGTAGACAGCCACAGACTGACCTGAACAGAGGAGCCTATGGAATAGGGGAAACACCTTACAAATCCACAGGCCATAAGGCTGGGCAGAGAAAATTGAGACTTGCTGGACTCCAAAAGTGGATCCTAAAAGGAAACCATTCATTCAAAAATTGACTCATTTTGGGTGCATTCTTTTTTGTTGTTGTTCTTTTCTTCTTTTTTTCCATTTTTAAATTAATTTTATTGGTACATTTAAGGTATACAATGAAATGACATCTATTATTGGAAATTTACACCTTTACATAACCCACCTTGTTTCTTTTTATTTTCTTTTTTTTCCAGTACCGGGGATTGAACTCAGGTCCTTGCACTTGTGAGGCAGGTGGTGGAACCACTGAGCTAAATCCCTGGCCCACCTTGTTTATTTTTTCCCCATTGCCCTGCCCTCCCTTCAACCCCTCCACCTCTCCCTATCTACAAAGACTTTGTTTCCATTTTCCATTTTCTCATGTTAATTCCATTCCTATCTTTCTTTTCTCCTACCCCTCCCACTTCCTCTTCCCCTTTGCACCATTTCTTCCTATTTCATATTATCTGTTATACCTTTTAGTCCTTATTTACACTTTCAGTTTCTCACACTGGAAAAACTATTCAGTATTTACACATATGTGTCCTATTTATTTCACTTAAGGGGATCGCCTCAATGTGCATCCATTTAGCTATAAATGTCTCTAGGCTCCCATTCTTTATGGCTGAGTAGTACTCCATTTTATTCAAAACGCCACATTTTCTTTAGCAGTCTCCTGTTGATGGGCAATTGAGCTGCTTCCAAGCTATCACAAATTGTGCTGCTATGAACATGGTTCACATATATCACTGTGGTATGATTCTTTTAATTTTGGGGGGAAGATACCCAGCAGGGGGATATCTGGGTCAAATGGGAACTCCAATTCTAGTTCTTTGAGGTATCTCCATGCTAATTTCCATGGTGGTTGTACCAGTCTACACCCATCAGCAGTGGAGCAGGGTTTCTCTTTTCCCACAGCCCCACCAGCATTTGTTACTGGTTGATTTCTTGATAGCAGCCATTCCTTCTGGGGTGAGGTGGAATCTCAGTGTTGTTTTCATTTGCATCTCTTGAATGACCAGTGATGTTGAACATTTCTTATAACATGTTTATTTGCTGTTTCTACTTCTTTGTCTAAGAAATGTCTGTTCTTTTCAGATACCCATTTTTGAAAAGGGTCTTTATATTTGTGATGTCTGATTTTTTTTTGAGTTCTTTATATATTCTAGAGATACACCTTTGTCTGAGGAAAAGCTGGTAAAAGTTTCTCCCACATGGTGTGTTGTCTCTTCACACTATTTGTTGTTTCTCTTGCTGTGCAGAAGCTTTTTAATAAGAACAGATCCCACTTGTTGATTGTTGTGCTACTTCACAGGCAACTGAAGTTTTGTTCATAAAATCTTTTCCTACACCAGTGTCTTCAAGAGTTCTACCTAATCTCTCTTCTAGCCAGTTTACTGTTTCTGTTTTAATGTTTAGATCTTTGATCCATTTTGATTTTAGGTTAGTGCATGGTGAAAGATATAGGTCTTGTTTTAATCTTTGGCAAGTTGAAACCCAGTTTTTCCAGCACGATTTATTAAAGAGGCTATCTTTCCTCCAGTAAGGGTACTTGGCTCCTTTGTCGAAGATGAGGTGGTAGAGTATGTCTGAGTTGTTTGTGCATCTTCTAATCTGTTCCACTGATCCTCAGTTCTGTTTCTTTGCCAGTACCATGCTGTTTTTATCACAGTAGCTTTGCAGTATAGTTTCAAGTTGGGGATGTGATACCCCCTACCTTGTCTTTATTGCCTATAATTGCTTTTGATATTCTAGGTCTCTTCTTGTTCCAAATGAATTTTTGGATTGTTTTCTCAAGGTCTGTGAAGTATGCTTATGGGATTTTAATTGGGATTGCATTGAATCTATGTGGCAGTTTTGGAGGAATGAAAATGGTGAAATTACAACAGACCCAGAAGAAATCCAGAGGATCATGAATACCTACTTCAAGACCCTATACACCAATAAGATGGAAAATACAGAAGAAATGGACAGATTCCTAGATACATATGAATTACCAAAGTTGAACAAAGATGACCTAAAAATTCTAAACGACCCAATATCAATCAATTAAATTGAAAACATAATTAAAAACTTACCAACTAAGAAAAGTATGGGTTCAGATAGCTTCACTGCTGAATTCTACAAGTCTTTTAGAGAAGAACTACTGCCACTACTGTTTAAACTCTTCAGTGAAATTGAAAGGGAAGCAATACTCCCAAATTCATTTCTGGAAGCAAGCATTACCTTGATCCCCAAAGCAGAGAAAGATCCAACTGAAAGAGAACTATAGGCTAATCTCACTAATGATGATAGATACAAAAATCCTTAATAAGATACTGGCAAATAGAACACAGAAGATCATCAGGAAGATCATACACCCTGACCAAGTGGGATTCATCCCAGGGATGTAGGGATGGTTCAACATATGCAAATCAATAAATGTAATACACTATATTAATAGAGCCAAGGACAAAACCCATATGATCATCTCAATAGATATGCAGAGAAAGTGTTTGACAAAATCCAACACACATTTATGATAAAAACACTCCAAAAAATTGGAATAGATGGTCTTTACCTCTGATAAAAGCCATGTATGAAAAACCAACAGTCAATATCATACTAAATGGTCAAAAACTGAAATCAGGAACAAGACAAGGATGTCCATTTTCCATTTTTTTCTTTTAATTTTTTTCTATTTTTATTCTCTATATTGGACTTCTGGGAAGATGGTGGAGTGTTAATTTCTTTTTCTCTCTCTTTTTTTCTTTTATCTCCTAATTCTCATTGGCATTTTTCTGTTACCTTTATCTAATTCTATAAATATCTTTCTATTCCATAATAGGATCCTTTGTCTCACTTTTCTCTCCTTCACATCTCCCATTGTTTCATTTTTCAAATTTTTCTTTTTGCATTCTTCCATTTCCAACCTTCTATATCTTTCACAGTCTAACCTTTAAGATTTATTCAACTTTATTTATTTACTTACTTACTTATTTACTTGAGACAGGATCTCACTATGTGGTTCAGGATGGCCTTGAACTTACAATGTAGTCCAGGCTGGCCTTGAACTTGAGGTGATCCTCCTGCCTCGGCCTCCTCAGTGATGGAATTACAGACATGCCTCACCACACCTGGCTTTATTAAACTTCAGATAATTAGTTAACTCTATGTTATTACTATTGAATTCTTTTCTATCATTAGTGGAGTTATAGTTATCACATTTAGTAGATATTTGCTATATGACAATATTTGTTTGATCTTAGGGTTTATAGCTATAGATTTTAATTCTAAGGTTAAGAGTGGTACATTATTGGCTCTTATGGAATGTAGATAACCAGTCTGTCTTGGATAATATTGTTGGTAATTTACTTGATATTGCTAGGGTCACATAGTTGTAGCTATTAATAGGTTTTCTCTTGATTACATTTGTGATACTAACAATATTGCAGTCCATTCCCATAGAACAGGAATCTGGGCCAATTACACTGCATCCCCTCTCATATTAATAGAGGTGGTGGGATCTTTGGATAGAGATGTAAGACTACAGTTAGGCAAGCCCTGAGCACATCACTGAAGAGTAGATTAACTAAAGACATCTCCACTATAGATCTATCTCCCCTTTCAGTCTTTCCATGGTAAGCAATAGCATACCTAACACAGCAGAAAACAACATAAATAGAAATATGAGAACACAAGGCAACAAAATGTCTCCCCAAACTACCAACTCCCAAAAGCCAATGCATGAGGCATCAAGAGGGAGGAAAACAAAAGCCACACAGCTGAATTATTCTAATGGATAACAGAGATTAAAGAACAGATCATTGAGGTACTACCTAGGCTCAAAGAAAACATAACTAATCAAATAACAGTGGAGGAGCTTACAGAAGACACTAATAGAAAGCTAGTTAAACTAAACAAAATGATACAAAACATGCATGACTAGTTTAGCAAAGAACTGAAGTCCCCAAAAAGTTTCCAAAGAGAAATCCAAGAGATATAAATTTATATTGAAAATATGGGCAGCAGAAACAATCAATGTAAGGACAGTGTCAGAACTACAAGACAGAGCTGCTTTCAGAAACCAATCATTCAGAGATACCTTAAAAACAATAAAGAAGTATGAGAAATGGATTCAACAGTTGCTAGATAAAGCAAGGAAGACTGTTAAGATTAATTGGAATTAATGAAAAATCAGAGGCCAGCACAAAAGGCATAAAAAACAGATTTGCAGAAGTAATAGCAGAAAACTTTACAAATATTGGGGAAATAAGTAGAGATATGTGAGGCACGTAGAATCTCAAATATCCAGGATCAGAAGAGAAACTCTCCATATCATATCATAGTCAAAATACCAGACACCCAACAAAGGAACAGAATCTTAAAAGCTGTTAAGAGAAAAGCAACAGATGACTTATAAAGGTAAACCCATTACAATTGTAGCAGACTTCTCAACACAAGCCTTAAAGACCAGAGAGCTTGGAGTGAAGTGTTTTAAGCCCTAAAAGGAAACAACTTCCAACTCAGACTTACATAGCCTGCAAAACTTTATTTCAAAATTATTGGAGAAATAAAGTCTTTCCATGATAATGAGCGCCTCAAGAAATTCATGACCACCAGGCCAGCACTACAAAAAAATTCTCAAGGATATACTAGAAAAAGACAATGAAGCCAACAATTCCAAAAATTCTCATATGTCCTGATGGTTTCACTCTCAAATTCTACAAGAACTTTAGAGATCTAACACCAGTACTCCTTAAACAAATGAAATAGAAATGGACTACTCCCAAAGTCATTTTTGAAAGGTAGCGTTACCCTGATTCTAAAACCAGAAAAGGACTCAAAAAAGAGAATTGCAGACTAATCCTTTAAAGAACATTCACTGTTGTTGGTGGCTCACACCTGTAATCTCAGCACTCAGGAGGCTGAGGCAAGAGGATTGCTGTGATTTTTAAGGCCAGCCTGAGCACATAGTGAGTTCAAGGCCAGCCTGAACTACTTAGACCCTGTCTCAAAAAACCAAAAAAAATATAATAGGAAATAAAGCCAGTTAAAGAAATAATAATAATACAAGAAATTACCTGTAAAAGCTTGACTTTAGTATTGAGGATAACAGCAAATTTCAGGTTCTTTTCCTTTCAAGGTTACCAAAGATGATAAACAACAATACAATGGGAAACAAAGTAATATGACAAAGACTGTGTGCGTGCATATGTGTGTGTGTACTTTATTCCTCTCTTCTATCATTTATGTTCCTATTTTCACTTTTAGGCCCCTGAGAAGTGTTTATGAATTTTTTCTTGGTGAGGAGGAAAATATAATGTAAGTGAAGTTCCATCTAGCACTGAGAGTCGGGTAAGGAGGAAACCCAGGAGACCATACCTTAGGGTTGGCAGCTCAGGGACAAGAGCTGATCAAACATGCAAATCAAGGCTGTGAGCCATCAGGAGATCATCCAAGCACCATTCTCCAAATAGCATCTTGCAAAAAAGGAAAATGAAAAGCTGTAATAGAGAGTTATTAGCTGGAACAATACTATCTGAACTTAGAAGAAAGAGATTCTTTAATTGGTAAAATGAATTCCCATTCTCCTTTTGCTTTGTACATCTGAGATATAGGATGATACAATTTCCACCTTTTTAATTTATTTGGCACCAGGGATTGAAATTGGGACCTTGCCCTTGCGGGGCAGGGAGTGGAACCACTGAGCTAAATCCCCAGGCCTCCATCTGACTGTACTGACATTTTGGGCTTAGGACTGAAACCAGGAGACAGGGAGGTCTGGCAAGAGTTTAAACTCTTCTTTCTCTATAAGCCTAACTCCAAATGTTTACCAACAATTGGTCACATGGGAGAAAGGAGACATAAGAGAACAGTTGCCAAAACCCAGTAAGAACAAGATGACAGGTCTTTTTGTCCTGCAGGAAATAGCTCTAATCCTCTTTATCTTGGAAGAAAACAGCAGAAAAAAGAAAATGAATGGTTTTCCACTGACAGTGCTCATTCAAGAAGGAGAAGAAGTTAGAGTAGGAAACCGTGGAAGGGGTCTCTTTCTTTCTGGAAAGTTCTGGCCTTCTGACAAGAATAGAGAGAGAATTAAGCTCTCCTTTGACACAATCACTGTCCCTGAAATGACTCATCAGATTAATGTCTTCTTGCTGTGGGAATGAAAATAAGGATCAAGAAGGAGCCTGGAAAAACTTCCTGATGCCCAAACTCCATAACATTCCTGAAAATTAGGCATTTGAAATGGAGAAGCTGAGACTCAAATTAATGGGGAAAAAATTTAAGTCATAAGTTCAGGGACAGAATCTGGTTTTGAACTCAGATTTGACTAGATGCAAAGTAGAACCTGTTTTTTGCTGCTTTGCTGCTGCCTCTTCAATCTTCTCAGCTCCCTCCCATCAGAACCTGAGTTGTTATTGTAGTTACTACTACTTGCAGCCTTGTCTTTTCCCACCCACAAGCAGTTGGGTGAAACTGCTTGTGTAGAAGGACCATGCCTGAAGCAATTATTCATTTATTCAGTGAATATTTATTGAATATAATGCTCCTCAGTTCTGGGTGCTGAAATCACTTCTGTGATTGACCCAATTTCCTGAAATCTAATAAGTGGATCCCTACAGGAGGTGTCTAATCACTTTCTCATTGCTGAGTTCCAATAGTGCACACCTACAAACCCAAAGGGCATAACATTGGGTTATGACAACCTGTCTCACATTTTTCTACTAAAATTTTTTACTTGGACATAATAGTGACTGACTGTGCATCTCAGTAGCTGTGCCTGGGGAGATGCAGGAAGAAACAATCTTTCTGTTTACCTACTTGGCATGATATTCAGCAAGGTGTGTGTACATGTGCAAAAGTATCAAACTGGGATTTTTACCCACATAATAGTCTATGTTACAAGTTTTGAATACATTTTCCTGAGCATCACAGGGTGTAAAATGCACATGCGCCACTCTTCTCTATGAAAATATGTATTTTATCTTGATGGAATGTGGATGTGACTCATAGTAGCTGCATCTGGGGAAAGTAAAAACCTATTTGCATTCACCCAGTTGGCAGACAAATGGCACAGTGTGTACAGGAGCTCCAAAGCAGCAACATGTGAGTTTTACTCATGAAATGTTCATTGCTAAATTTTTGTCCATTTAGGATTTGTTTTGGAAAAAGTTTTCTTTTGATATTTCTGGTAGAAGTAGCCTAATTCAGTAAAATGGCACATGAAAAATCAGATTTGCAAGTTTTGGAGGAGATCAAAAGTAAATCATCAGATTACTCATGCATGGATGCTAATGATAATGACATTTATTTATTTATTTAGGTAGTGGGGATTAAACTCAGGACCTTTTGCTTGCCCAGCAGGCATGGTGCTGCTGAGCTACATCCCTGGTCCAAAGATGATAATGACTTTGATGATAGCCTTGTGAGACAAAGTTCCTGAGACAGTGAAACAGAGCAAGAATTTGTTGGAGACCAAGACCTATGTGCGTCTCCACCCTCCGTGTGTGCCCCTCCACCTTGTGTGTGTGTGTGCCCCTGATAGGAACTTTACACCTTCCCGGGGACATTCTAACCCCTCCCGGTGACATTCTGGCCATGACCTTATCTAGCTAGACCAACTTAGCAACCAGGAAAGTCCCTGCTCATCCCTGCCTGCATTTAAGCTGCAGTGTGAGAAATAAAGGGGGTCAAAAAAATTTTTGACCCAAAAAGAGCTCTGCCTGGTTCTTGTTTTCCTGTGTCATTCCTGTTCCCATTCTGGGTGCTCCCCTCCTCAAGCCCTACTAATAACGAACCCCGCTGGCTGGGGCAAGTGGCGCCCAACGTGGGGCTTGAGAAACAGGGTTTTCACCCGGTGGACACTGCTCGGAGGATCAGAAGATCAACACCTGAACTGCTGCCTGGACCTGGCGAGCTTGGATCCACGGACAGTCTGCCAAGACCAACCTAATGAATTGGCTGATAGGGACTTGGATTACTTCCTGACCTGTCCTGACCTGGCGAATTGGCTGCCGCCTGACCTGCCCTGTCCTGATGAGTTTGGATCTACGTCCAGTCCTCACGGCCCCCATCCAGCTGTGAGAACAACCTAGAAGGTAAGTGATCAACGTAAATAAGGGATAAGAACTAAATTCAGGTAAGATCCAGAAACTTATGATGGTTAGATAAATTCTGCAGAAATATTTGAAAGCTAAAGAAATTCAGAAAAAGGAAGTGCTAGAAAAAAAGCTCCCACAGAGCCAAGAGACAAAGCTCCCACAGAGCCAAAGATACAGCTGTGAAACTATAATATAGTCGGGTGGTGAAGGAAATCGAGGGACCACTTGGCTATATTTCGTTAGAATTAAATTTCTACGTGGAATTAAATTTCTATAAGAAGAATTAAATTTCTTTGAGAAGATAATCAACTGGTAAAGGAAATCGAGGTACCATTTGATGATACAGTAGAATTAAATTTCTAGACAATAGAATTAAATTTCTATAAGTAGAATTAAACTTCTAATCCAGAATTAAATATATTACTGATAGTACTTACTCATTTCTAAAAACTAAAAGTTACATTAAGAGATAGGTGGACGTGTTGGTAATCAAAAATAAGCTAGCCTTAAAATTATTCTGAGGCTGGCTTATTTTTGATAATTAATGTGTTTGTTTTACCTTCAAGTTATATTTAGAGAATTATAAATGGGATATTGTGAAGCTTTTACAGTTACATCCTTGTTTAATGTGTCAAGCCTTCTCCTAGTAACTCTTACTAGAGGGCTCCTAGGAATAGGCTTGGCTTCTGCAAGTCCTTCAGATTTTACGTTAAAAGATAGGATACTTTTGATGCTTGTTTATTACTTGATTATTAGTGTGTTTGCTTTCCTTATCTGCCTGCAATAAATTTAAATTTACATAGGAATAATTAATTTAAAACATAAGTTTAAATTTACATATAAATAATTAATAAAAAATAGAATCCCTAATAAAGCATATAAAATGGGTCAAAGCTTAGATAAGCATCAGCATTTTGTAGAAGACATAAAATCTTCTCTGCTGACACGGGGAATTCATGTTAAGAAAAAGGACTTAATAAGATTTTTTAACTTCATAGAACAAACCTGTCCATGGTTCTCACAGGAAGGAATAATTGATGAAAAAAGATGGAATAGGGTTAAAGAATGTTTCGATGATTACTATAAGGAATATGGACCTGAAAAGGTTCCCATACAGGCATATTCTTATTGGAATATGATTGATGAAATTTTACATCGTCATTCTCATCCTGTTATAGACAAGGCTATAAGTGCTTCTGAGGAATTTCTTAAATTAGAGATCAAAGAGAGCCAAGCTTCCCTCCACTCGCCTGATGCTCAATCACATAGATCATCCCCCTGCCCTTCTGTCATTATTTCCATGCCTGATCCAAGTGCCCCTGAGACACTCCCACCACCCAAAATAGAGCCTTCTTCTATTTATCCTGTCTTAAATACCCTTAAGGATGATAATAATATTTTTCCCCCCGAGGGGCCATCTTCAACCTTACGGCCTCCCCCATACCTTTCACCCCCCTTTCCATCCATGGGCTCTAATTTGAAAATGATTACCAGACAGACAAAAATGGAACTCTCAGAGGAAATAGAATCTCTACGAGAACTTTTACAAACCCAACAAGAGCATGCTGACCTTATGAAAAAGCTTCACTCCCTAAACCTTACATTAGAATCTGATAACCCCATAAAAAAATTAAAATCCAAAATAAAAATTTCTCAGGCTTATCCTGTCCTCAGATCACGTACTAAACAACCCCATCCTGAGGACCAAACTTCAGAGGGAGAAAAAGAGGAAGGTTCAGATGACAATATAGATGAAACAGAGAATGAGGAAGCAGAAAATGAGACTCCCAATCAATCTGATTCTCCTAACCAAACTCAAAAATATAATAAATTAAAATTCAAATATATCAAAGAGCTTAAGAATGCTACTACCCTCTATGGACCTTCGGCCCCATTTACTTTATCCCTCATTGAATCACTCAATGATGGAGGATGGTTCACTCCTAATGATTGGTATCTACTAACCAAGGCTGTACTCACTAGAGGAGATTTTTTACTTTGGAAAGCAGACTTTACAGAGAGATGTCAAATTACCGCTCGCCATAATTCAGCTGCGGGAGGTACCTCTAAGGCCTGGACTCTCTCTAAATTATTAGGTATTTATCCCTCATTGAATCACTCAATGATGGAGGATGGCTCACTCCTAATGATTGGTATCTACTAACCAAGGCTGTACTCACTAGAGGAGATTTTTTACTTTGGAAAGCAGACTTTACAGAGAGATGTCAAATTACCGCTCGCCATAATTCAGCTGCGGGAGGTACCTCTAAGGCCTGGACTCTCTCTAAATTATTAGGTAATTCACCCTATGACTCTAATGAAAAACAAGCCCAATTTCCTCCTGGACTTCTATCACAAATAAAAGACGCCGCCTT